AACGCCGGAGCGAAACTCGCCCCCACGGTCGGAGTGTAGACAACTGACACGACGACCACGAGTGCCCTAAGTGGCCAGAAGCCACCGGATCAGCGTAGCAGTCACCTCGGACTTCTTCGCGAGAGGAAACACTGTGGTGTACCTGGAGAAGTCGTCGACGACCACCAGAAAGTAACGCTCCCTCCCAGATCCCTGCGTCGGGGCAGGGCCCCAGACGTCCAAGTGGAGGGTCTCGAAGGGAGCAGTGGCCGGACGAAGGGAGGAGGAGTGAGGAGTGGCGCGTAAGCGACCGGCGACGCAAGGAGTGCAAGGGGGAGCAAGTGAGGTAGGGAGCGACGGAAAGGTGCGTGGGAGACCTGTGACAAGCCCCTGGCTGGTCATGCCGCGGAGGCGGGGGATCGACGGGTGACCAAGACGGTGGTGCCACAAGACGGTACGATGGGTGAGGGAGCGACAGGAGCAAGACGCAGCAACCAGACAGGACACCGCGACCGGACTAGACACGACCACCTGGCTAGACACAGCAACCGGACTGGAGGGGACGCAACGACCTGAGCGGAGGACGCAACCTGGGAGCGCTCGGTGTGGAGAACGTAGAGACCGGAGCGGGGCTCCTTGGTGAACGTGGCCAGAACAGCACCTGTGGCAGCGTCTGTATAGACCGCAGTCCTCCCACCCCCCACAAAAGTGACCGTGATCCCCCTGTCCTGGACGTAACCAACACCCACCAAGTTCCGAGTGAACGAGGGGATGTGGAGGCCGCGCAGGACACCAGAGGGGACCACAGGACACGGGAGGGTAGTGGAGCTGCACGCAACGGCTGGTCCTGAGGTAGGATCAGCCAGAGCTACCGAAACAGGAGTGAGGAGTGGCGTGAGGGTCGTGTGGTCGCGGAAGAAGCACTGAGACGCACCAGAGTCCAGCGTAAAGGACAGGGACGCCTCAGCCGGAGGGTCACCTGTCCTAGTGGCTACACAAGCACCTAGAGCAGCAACACAAGCACCTAGACTAGAAAGGCACAAGTCTACACTAGCAGGAGGCAAGCAAGCTAATATACGAACACGCGAGCACACAGATCCATCAGCACTATAGTCAACATCAGCATACAAAGCATGCTGACGAGCATCGTCCATAGACAGATCAAACACATCAATCTTACGGGATAACAGGCGAGCCCAGCGAGGCGTGGTCGCCGCAGGGCCCCAACGAGCACGGTAGAGGTCGTCGAGGCGGCGGAAGCACCGCGCGGCAGAGTGGTCGTCACGACCGCAGAGATAGGGGCTGCCCGGTCCGGTGAGGCACCAGTGGGTGCAGGGGCCAGTGTCACGGCGAGGGGGGCGAGGGGCCCAGCTGGAAGTACTGCTGCTGCGGCCGGTGCTCCCAGGTCCTCCCGGACCCCACTGCGGCGGGGGACCCAAGTGCTGCTGCGGACCCCACTGCAGCGGGGGCCCCCACTGCTGGAACTGCTGCGGTGCCTACTGCTGCTGCTGTCCCTGCTGTGGCTGGTGCTGCTGCGACTGCTGCTGCTGGGGTCCAACACCCCCACCGGTCAGGCCACCGCCAGTGGGTGGGCCTGTCTGTCCTGCACCTCCTCCAAGGCCCCCTCCTCCTGGTGCACCTCCGCCGTCGCCACCGCCGCCGCCGCCTCCACCACCGCCGCTCCCACCTCCGCCGCCACCTCCACCGCCCCCTCCACCGCCTCCACCTCCCCCCTTCCCGCCCTTCTTGCCACTCTTGCCCCGTTTTGGCCAGTCTGCGGCAGAAACGGCAGCAGTGTCCCCAGAAACCGACACAGCAGCAGAAGCGCGGGTAGCAGTGAAAGTGGGAAGCTGAGGGGCGGCACACCCCGCAAAGAGACGGGGGGCCACCGCGTCAGCGGCGGAGGCAACGGTGAGGAGGCTACTCTCGATCGTCCCGAGAGCGGTCTCAAGGAGATGGATAGTGAGCTCAGTGGGGTGCTTCTGGAGAAGCGCGTCGCGAGCAGTGGCAAGGCAGTCAGGGAGGCGGGTGACTAACCAGTGCACAGTGAGCCACATGGGGGGGGGAGCAGCAAGAAGATGGGCGTCGGTACAGGCCGCTCGGAAACCGGCGTCAAGTGAGCGGAGGTGAGTCACTAGGTCGGACACAGTCGCAAACGAGCCGAGGTCGGGAAACACGAACGGCATGAGGAGGCGACTGAGGGAGGCAGAGGAAGGGGTGGAATAGCGTGCAACAACAGCAGCCCAAACCCCCTGTGCTGTCTCCACCTGGTCAAAGTGGACGGCCTCAGTCGGTGGGAGGAGCTCCGTCAGCGCAAGAGCAGTGGCAGCGTCGCGAGAGTCCCACACGTCCCTCGCCAAGACACGACGGTCGTAGTCCGCCTGCGCCGCAGGAGTCGGCTCCGGGTCGGTCGGGAGGGGGTCGGGAGACAGGGGCGCCTTGAGGGCACCAGACGCGTGGGCCCACAGGGTGGCGCCGTCCTGACGCTGACTGGTGAGGTAGCGCGTGGCCTGGCGCTGCCAGGTACTGAACTCGATCGGTCGCCCCTCCGCATCGAAACGAAGGCGGCGGGACTCCATATTGGAGGCTAGGCTAGAGGCGGCTGGAGCGCGGAGGAGGCGGATCTAGGAAAGAGGAGGGAAAGCTAGGAGCGCCAGGTGTGGCGAGGCAAAAGACCGGCGGAGCTAGTGGCTACACGGGTCTAACCTAGGCGACCGATGAGAGTAGCGGCTGCCAGTCGCTGACAGAGAGACCAATGACAGTAGGAACGGCGGGGGGCCCAGCGAATAGGGCGATGGTGGGGAAAAGATCCACGTGCCTGGTGCGGTGGGTGTGCACGGGTCGAGGGCGCGGGCTGGGCGCGGGCTTGGGGTAGGGCGCGGGTTAGGGGCAGGGCGCGGGCTATGGGCAGGGCGCGGACGGCGCAGGCAGCGCGGAGGGCAGAGCGCGGATGCGCGAGCAATGCGCGGAGGCGCGAGGCGGAGGTGCGGATGCGCGAGCTAGGGCGCGGGCCTGGGCGACGGGCTAGGGCGACGGGCTAGGGCGCAGGTTTGGGCGACGGACTAGGGCGCGGGCCTGGGCGACGGGCTGGTGCGCGGGCTGGGGCGACGGGCTGAACGGGCGCCTGGGCGACGGGCTAGGGCGGGCGCCTGGGCGACGGGCTAGGGCGGGCGCCTGGGCGACGGGCTAGGGCGGGCGCCTGGGCGACGGGCTAGGGCGGGCGCCTGGGCGACGGGCTAGGGCGGGCGCCTGGGCGACGGGCTAGGGCGGGCGCCTGGGCGACGGGCTGGGGCGGGCGCCTGGGCGACGGGCTAGGGGGGGCGCCTGGGCGACGGGCTAGGGCGGGCGCCTGGGCGTCGGGCTAGGGCATGGGCCTGGGCCTGGGCGACGGGCTAGGGGCGCAGGCTAGGGGCGCGGCGGGCGCTAACGCGCGGAGGAGGAGGGCGCTAAGGCGCGGAGGCTAAGGCGCGGAGGGCGCGGAGGGCGCGGAGGGCGCTAGGGCGCGGAGGGCGCTATGGCGCGAGCAAGGCTAGGCTAGGCGAGAGGATCGACACCTACTCATGATACCATCTCAAAGTTAGCGAACAACGGAATGCATCAACTAGGATAGGGAGTGATACAAATAGCAAACCTAGAAAGTGTTGTACTCTCTACAGTGCTACTCACTACAGCCTATTATAACAATGTTCAACATTTGACACAGGCTAGCAATGCATAGTCTGGCAAATGCAGAGCGTGAAGGACTGTCGGAAAACTACTTACATACTAACACTCTAAAAAAATGCTAAAGCCATTACACAAACATTACGTATGCACAACAACATGTAACTGCTCTCCACTAGTAAACCCTAATAAGGCTCTTCCTCATCTTCATCTACATCCACAAACCCATCGCCATCCCTCCCCTCCTCTTCACTACTCCCCCCTTCCTCCACCTCCCCTCCCGCTCCACTCCCTCCATCCCTACCCTCGTCTCCATCCCTCTCCTCCTCCTCGCCCTCGTCCTCCTCACCTGGTACTCCCCCACCCATATCACCCTCCTCTTCTGCCTCCTCCCCATGCGCCTCTTCATCCTGTTCCTCCTCCTCTCTCTCACCTCCCTCCCTCTCATCCCTTTCTTCCTCCTCTCCCTCCTCCCCCACATGACCTTCCTCCTCTTCCTTGGTACTTTCCCTCTCATGTTCAGCTGCATCTGCATCCCCCTCTTCTTCATCTCCCCCCTCATCTGTTCTCCTCCTCTTCCCTCCCCCTCTCCCTTCCTCCTCAGTATCCTCCGCCTCCTCAACCTCCTTTCTCTTCATCCCTCTCCCTCTTCCCCTCCCCCTCCCACCCCCTCTCCCACCTCCTCTCCCCGTTCCTTCCCCCACTCCTCTTCCCCCACCTCTCCCCCCTCCTCTCACCCCTCTCCCTAACCCCCTCCCTCGCCCCCTCCCCCCTGCTCCCACTCCTCTCCCACCTCCCCTCCCCCGTCCCCCTCGTCCCCCTCTTCCTCCTCGCCCCCCTCCCCTAACCCCAACCTTCCCTCCTCTCTTCTTCTTGCCTCCCAACCCTTCCACCTCCCCTCCTTCCTCCTCTCCCTCCTTCCCCTCCCCTTCCCCCTCCCCTCCCTCGCCCTCATCCCCTTCCTCCGCCTCCTCATGCTCCATCACTTCCAGCTGTGCACAATCCAACGGCCAGAAACAAGCCAGATATGCGATCCGACAGTCACCGGTGCAGCCATAGGATTTAAAACGCCCCAGAGACGATATACAATTAAAAGGAAACCAAATGCAAGGAGGGGATTGGTAAAGGAAGGCAAGATAAGAAGGGCAAGAGAGGACATGGGAGGGCGAGGCAAGAAAAAAACAAGCAAGTATCGAAACCATCACGGGTCAAGGAAAACGGAATATAAGAAGTTTGACACTTCCGATTGAGGAAAAAAAGAGAGCATTGGTTCTAACGAGTACAGATGGTGAGATAGGTTAGCAGGGTTGCAGTAAGCCCAAATGTGCAAGACGAAAAGAGAGTGGTGGAGATGGGAACTAACAAGCTCCAAATGTGCTGAGAGAGAGTAAGGGAGAGCGTGTGGAGAGAGAGTAAGAGAGACTGTGCAAAGAGAGGGTAAGACAAATTTTGCGGAGAGGGTAAGTGTTACAATGCAGAGAGGGTTGAGAGAGGATGTGTGCGAAAGAGGGCAATAGAGATTGTTCGTATGGAGGGTAAGAGAGAGTGTGCGGAGTGAGGGTAAGAGAGTGTGAGGAGTGAGGGTAAGAGAGTGTGCGGAGTGAGGGTAAGAGAGTGTGCGGAGTGAGGGTAAGAGAGTGTGCGGAGTGAGGGTAAGAGAGTGTGCGGAGTGAGGGTAAGAGAGTGTGCAGAGTGAGGGTAAGAGAGTGTGCGGAGTGAGGGTAAGAGAGTGTGCGGAGTGAGGGTAAGAGAGTGTGCGGAGGGAGGGTAAGAGCAAGTGTGCTGAGAGGGATATCCACATCTTTGGCTGCTCCTCCCGCCATGATTCCACGTAGCTCCCCCTCCACCTCCTCCACTATCTCCGGCTGCCAAGATATAAACAGTATTGAAGTAAGGGAGATAAAAAAGAGAATTCAATGCAAGGAGGATTAAAACAGTATTGAAGTAAGGGGGATAAAAAAGAGAATCAAATGCAAGGAGGATTAAAACAGCATTGAAGTAAGGGGGATAAAAAAGAGAATTAAATGCAAGGAGGCAATGATTCCCCGTAGCTCCCCCTCAACCTCCTCCACTATCTCCGGCTGCCAGGCAGGGAATAAAAAGGGGGGATTATAATGAGCATTGAGTGCAGCGAAAAAGATTCTTTGCACCTCCGCCTCCACCTCCTCCACTATCTCCGGCTGATTTTGGAGGCGCATACAAAAACCGCCTCCACACCTCCACTATCTTTGGCAGCACAAAACAAAAGCATGATTTGAGAGGAGGAGATGAGAACGAGAAATGGGTTTCCACGGGTCATGCCAACAAACAATTCATCTCCCACTGGTGGCACATCACATCACAGTAAGAAGTGATGCAAGCATGCTGCCATGAACAAGAAATGGGTTTCCAGGGGCCATGCCATGCCAACAAGTCATGCCAACAAGTCATGCCAACAGTTCATCTCCCACTGGTGGCACATCACATCACAGTAAGAAGTGATGCAAGCATGCTGCCATGAACAAGAAATGGGTTTCCAGGGGCCATGCCATGCCAACAAGTCATGCCAACAAGTCATGCCAACAGTTCATCTCCCACTGGTGGCACATCACATCACAGTAAGAAGTGATGCAAGCATGCTGCCATGGACAAATGTAGTGATCATCTTATGACATATGTATGACATGAACAAAGCAACTCACGATGAGATCAGGTTCGCGCCTGACTCAAAACACGACTCATTACACGCGGATTATATGTGGAGAAATTGTTTGTTGCATGGCAAATTGGTTGTAACCTTCACAGGTTACTGGTACGCACGCGGCTTCGTATGTATGAAATGAACACAGCAACTCACGATGAGATCAGGCTCGCGCCGTCTCCCCACGTCCCTCATGGGCGTCTTTTGAGATGTCTCAAAAGTCTCCCCACGTCCCTCATGGGCGTGGTGAGGCCAATGAGCTGAATGCAAGTCCATGACAAAGCAACAAGTGCAACGCACGAAGGTTCGCGCCTGAAGCACCGTTTCCCCACGTCCCTCATGGGCGTGGTGAGGCCATTGAGCTGAATGCAAGTCCATGACAAAGCAACAAGTGCACTGTGAAATGCACACAGCAACTCACGATGAGATCATGCTCGCGCTTGAAGCACCGTCTCCTCAGTTCCCTCATGGGCGTGGTGAGGCCATTGAGCTGAATGCAAGTGCATGACAAAGCAACACGTGCACTGCGAAATGCATACAGCAACTCACATTCAGATCTGGCTCCCGTCTGAACCGTCGTCTCCGCACATCGCGCATGGGCGGGGTGAGGCCGTTGGCGCTCGATAGAGTGAGTGAGAATATATGCAGCAGCACACTCACATTGAGGTCAGGCTCCCGTCGAAACCGTCGCCTCCGCACGTCGCGCATGGGCGGGGTGAGGCCGTTGCGGCTTTCCGGTCCCTCAATGGGTCGCTCTGCCTCCGATGGCTCCCTCACCACAATCATCTGATATCACAGTCACATGTGGTACAACATTCACACGGGAGGGCGGGGTGAGGCCGTTGCGGCTCTCCGGTCCCTCAATGGGTCGCTCCGCCTCCGATGGCTCCCTCACCACAATCTGATACAGTCACATGCAGCACAGTCACACAGGAGGGGCGGGGTGAGGCCGTTGCGGCTCTCTGGTCCCTCCACTGGTCGCTCTGCCTCTGACGTCTCCCTCACCACGATCATCTGATACAGGCACACAGGGCACAATCACATGCGGTAGTGTGACAATCAAGGGCATGGTAGAAATAAGTTTGTTGCGACTCTCTGGTCCCTCCACTGGGCGCTCTGCTTCTGACGGCTCCCTCACCACGATCATCTGATATCACAGTCACATGCAGCACAGTCACATATGGTAGTGTGCCAATCGTTACAGTCACAATCAAGAGCAAGCGAGGGCGGGGTGAGCACGTTGCGGTTCTCCGGTCCCTCCATAAGCGGCTTCGCCTATAATGGCTCCTTCACCACGATCATCCGTTACAGTCACACATAGTGGCACAGTCACATACATCACAGTTAATTAGGATGGTGTGACGATTTACACAATCACAATTATGTCCCATCAGCCCACGTCCCACCTGCCTGCCCCATGTCTACCGTTTTGACAAGGGAGTTTTCATCGTTCCCCCAGTTTTCCAAACTCTCTCCCACCTTCCCCAGAATCAAACGATTTCACAACCGAGCTTCCCCGAATCCAGCCTTCCCCGAATCCAGCCTTCCCCGAATCCAGCCTTCCTAGAATCCAGCCTTCCTAGAATCCAGCCTTCCCCGAATCCAGCCTTCCCCGAATCCAGCCTTCCTAGAATCCAGCCTTCCCCGAAAACAGCCTTCCCCGCATCCCATCTGCCCCACATCCGCCATTTTGACAGGCGAGTTGTCGGCACACGTCTTCCACAACTCCACCACACCCCACCACACCCCACCACACCGCACCTGCCCCACATCCAGCAACGACCTCCCACCTACCCCTCTAACTGTACCTGCCCCACGCCCCGCCTGCCCCACATCCCGCCTGCCCCACATCCCACCTACCCGGCTACCCCCACGTCCCACCTGCCCCACGTCGGCCGTTTTGACGAGCGAGTTATCATCGTACGTCTTCCACGATTCGACAACCGCTGGCAGGTCCAATAAGGAGGCGGAAAAAGATTCCCCGCCCATCACAAAGGAGCCCGTTCGGCCGTCAGCTGGTGTGGATGGAGGTGGGATGGGGTGGGGTGGGGTGGGGTGGGGTGGGGTGGGGTGGGGATAGGGGAGCAGTGCATGCGAGTGGTGAGGACAAGCGAGCTATCATCATCAGACACAGGCAAGGCCTCCCTGCCCTGCCCATCACAAAGAAACCTGTTCGGCCGTCCGCTGGTGAGGGTGGAGGTGTGGGTAGGGGAGCAGTGAGGGGGAAAGCGGGAGGTAGGGGAGCAGCAAGGAGAGAAGGACGAGTGATTGTCATATGCCTTCCATGACTCCACTCTCCACCTCTCCACCACCGCTGGCAGGTACAGAAGAGAAGCGGGGAAGGCCTCTCCGCCCATCACAAAGGAGCCCGTGCGCCCTTCAGCTGTTGCGAGTGGAGGTGGAGTGGGGTGGGGTGAAGTGGAGTGGGGTGAAGTGGGGTGGGGTGAGAGGCGGGGAAGGCCTCTCCGCCCATCACAAAGGAGCCTGTGCGCCCTTCTCCGCTGTTGCGAGTGAGGTGGAGTGGGGAGTAGTGGGGTAGAGGAGGATGAGGACGGCAGGTCCAGGAGGGACGCGGGAAACGATACCACATCACACCCATCACCAAGGAGCCGACTCGGGCGTCTAGCAGGGGTGGGGACGGGTTGACTGGCACGAATCTACCATCGACGGCATGTCTAGCAGGGATGCGGGAAACGATAGCACACCCGTCCCCAGGGAGCCAGTTCGGGCGTGAGCTGGAGTGTGGGTGGGGTGGGGGAAGGGGAAGAGTGGTAAGTATGGGTTGACTTGCTCGATTCTAGCATCGACGGCATGTCTACCAAGGATGCGGGAAACGATACCACACCCATCACCAAGGAGCCGGTGCGGCCATCAGCTGGTGTGAGAGTCAAAAGCTTTTGAGTCAAAAGTCTGTCTTCCACCGTCGCTGGCTGCTCCAGTAAGTACTTGACTCCCGGGAAAGGATGGGGAGGGTGGGGTGGGGTGGGGTGGGGTGGGGTGGGGTGGGGTGGGGTGGTGAGGGCAAGCGAGCTATAGCATAGGAACCGGCTGCCTGTCTTCTACCATCGCTGGCTGCTCCAGTAAGCACTTGACTCCCGGGAAAGGATTCCTCCAGGAATAAGATTAGGAGCCAGTGCGACCGTCAGATGAATCAGGGGGGAGGTAAGATTAGGGTGGCGAGAGTGATAAGGACGAGTGGTGGCGTCAGCTGGTTTACCTACCTTGAGGCGCCTCAAATGTTTACCTACCTTGAGGCGCCTCAAATGTTTACCTACCTTGAGGCGCCTCAAATGTTTACCCACCTTGGAAGAAAAGTTCCATGGCAGTGTCAGCGGCGGCGGTGGGGTCTTCCCGCAGCACGCGGTCCATCCGCGAAGCTAGCGACGGTGGTAACCGCAACACGAAATGCTCCTCCATGACCTATCGCGAACCCTGAAAAAACCCCCTGAGTTTGGGGATTGGCCTTTGAGAACTCGGAAAGAACACTCTGCGATTAGGTATTGGCTATTGAGTCGATTATAAAGTGACCTCGTTTGACCAGACTTCGTCGCCAGACTAATAATGGCAACCCTCGCTTCGGTTCCTCCACCACAAGCACTACGAACCGACCTGAACCGAGCCAAACGAACCCGAACCAGGTACCGTATATGACCGTTATGCACCGTAATTCGTCTTCTGTCCACAGGTCCTTGCAGTCACTAAGAAGGCATTCCGGGTCGACGGAACCGCGGTGATTTCGTCGAGACTCACGGCTACTCTGATTTGCGTGGTGCACAGCAGAAGAGATGCAGGCGCAGGGTCGTTTCGCAGACAACGCATTTCCGCGACGCGTTCGAAAACGAGTTTTGGCCGAGTCGCGAGTGCGAAAAACGAGTGTGCTTCAGGAATGGTCAGGAACCTAGCGATCCAATCGTGTTATCTACTAAACATCATGCTGGTCGTGTCGCCTAATATCGATACTTCGCTCTCCAGCAGCAGTTTTGTATGTCAGCAGGCCTGTCGAAGTTCCTGGGGCCCATACTTGCGCTCCCCAGCTCCTCCCCATCTGACCCTGTTTTGGGTGTAGCTGAGCGTTTCGGGCAGGAGGAGGGGAGGGGAACGCGACGGGCAGAGGGAGGGGAGGCGACGCGACGGGCAGGGGGAGGGGAGGCTACGCGACGAAGGGCGTGCGGAGGGCGCGAGGGCGCTAAGGCGAGCGGAGGGCGCTAAGGCGCGGAGGGCGCGGAGGGCGCTAAGGCGCGGAGGGCGTGGAGCTAAGGCGCGAAGGGCGCGGAGGGCGCTAGGGCGCGGAGGGCGCAAGGGCGCGGAGGGAGCTAGGGCGCGAGCTAGGCTAGGCTAGGCGAGAGGATCGACACCTACTCATGATACCATGAGCGGACAACGGAATGCATTGACTAAGGGAATCGGGTACAAATATGGAAACCTAAAAGCTGTACCCCCTAGAAGGCACATCACTACAGCCTATTACAAATAATAACATTTGACACACCCCCATAGGCTAAGTGAGGGGCATCAAAACAAGCAAGGCAGACAAACGGTCACAAGACCAGTCAGCAAGAAGCAAGACAAGCTCAGGGTGGATTTCAAGGACACCACACAAATTCCGAGCGCAATCAAGCGGTCACAAGGCCAGTTCAAGAGTTCACTAGGATATATATAGGAAAGCACAACAAGCAGAGCAAGCAACAAGACTACAGCAACCGAGGGCCTACCTCAACAAGCCCCAACTGCATACAGAACCTGTGGTGGTCACCAAACGCTAGGGCCTTGGTGAAGACGTCTGCAGTGTTGGCCTCTAAGGCCACAAAGTCCAGGCGTGCCTGGCCGCGTCGCTGCAGCTCTCGCAGGAGGAAGTACCCCACGTCAATGTGCTTCACTCTGCTCTCCAGTCGAGGCTCTCGACAGAGGAGGATCATGGCCTTGTTGTCAGCGTATAAGGTCGGTGCAGAGCGAGGCCGCTCACCAAGGTCGACGAGCAAGAAGGTCAACCAGCGAAGCTCCTGTGTCGCCATGGCACCAGCGTAGATCTCTGCCTCTGCACTGGAAGTAGCCACAGACGACGACCGTGTAGACCTCCAGGACACAGCACCAGCTCCCAGACTGAAGCAGTAACCCTGAGTCGAGCGCTGAGTCTCCACGTCGTCAGCGTAGGAAGAGTCGCAGTGACCAGTCAACGCCACTGGCTGAGTCCCTCCAAGCACAAGCCCCATGCCTGATGTAGTCGCCAAGTACTTCGCCACCCTCACAGCAGCTGTCCAGTGGACAGGACGGTGTCTCCCAGTCGCAACAAAGCGAGAAAGGATGCTGAGGGGAAAGGCGAGGTCCGGCCGAGTACAAGTCATCAGGTACATGAGGCAGCCCACCAGCTCTGCGTAGGGACCACTGGACTCAAAGGGCTCGTCCGGAAAGGGGCCAGTGAGTTTGTGGTCAACCGCAAGAGGTGTGGGCTGTGTGGTGGAGAACTGGAAGTCGAACCGCCGAAGGACCTGCTGCACCATGTGTGACTGAGTCAGTGTGATGGTGCGAGCGGCTCTGTCCCTGGTGATTTGCAGGCCAAGGTAGCGCTGCAGTTCACCTAGGTCAGTGCACTTGTGTCTCTTCTGCAGTTCGGACTTCACCTGAGCCAGAGCTGCCCTGACTGTCTACGTCGACGTAGACAAGGATGAAGAAAGGAGTGGAACCAGCCCGAACAAACAGCGACGGGTCGGCGGACGACGAGCTAAACCCAAGGTCACGAAGCGTGGAGCGAAGAGTGTCGTGCCACTCACGGGGCGACTGGCGGAGACCGTAGACTGGCCGCCTCAGGCTCCACTGGGTCCCAGGTGGGAAGGTGTCAGTGAAGCCAGGAGGGCGGCGCAGCCAGATCTCCTCGTGTAGTCGGCCTTGGAGAAACGCAGTGGAGAAGTCAAGGGAGTGCAGCTCGTAGTCTCGCTGTGCTGCTACGTGCAGAAACACCCGAAGAGTAGTCATCTTCGGGGTTGGGGCGAAGGTCTGGAAGAAGTCAACTCCCTCACGCTGACTGAAACCCCTAGCCATGTAGCGCGCCTTGAACACAGGCAGTGAACCAGGCGGCCGCTTCACCTTGAAGAGCCACATGCCATCGACTACGTTCGCCCTGGGAGGGGGAACTGCGTCGACGTAGGTGCCTATGGATCTCCAAGACGCTAACTCCGAGGCCATAGCCGCTTTCCACTGTGAGGCCCACGCCCCTGACACTGCCTCGCGGTAATTACGAGGAGTCGGTATGTCAAGGGCGTCGGGGTCTCCCTCAGGGGATAGCAGCATGGCACAGACAGAGGGAGAAGCGGCTGCCCAGTACTCCAGCTCAGACTCTCTGTCCTCTAGGACGTCACAGCCAAGGGCAAACTCACCCCCGACGGACAGAGAACGGGAGGGAGGAGCTGACACCACACGGGTGGTGTAGTCAAGGCGACTGGCGGCAGCAAACTCAGCGACAGCGGCAGTGAGAGCCGAGACAGACGACGGAGGGAAACGAGAGTCGGTGACAAGAGTGGCGAGGACACGAGAGACAACAGGACGAACAGGACGGTAGTAGCCAGTGACAGGAGTAGGGGGGAAAGGGAGAGAGGACTGAGGAGGAGACGGGAGAACGGACTCAGGAGGACGACGACGAAGAGACGAACAAAGGAGGGCAGTGCGGAGGTCGGTAACGGGAGACGAGTGACGAGCACGCGGAGGACAGGGACGGACACGAGAGTGTGGGACAACAGGTGGAGGAGACTGCGGTGGAGGAGAAGACAAGGCCGCCGGACTGTCGTCAGGAGGAGGAAACGTGGGACCAAACGCCGGAGGGGACGGAGTGTGAACAGGAGGAGAGGAGGGAAGACCAAGGGCCCGAAGGCCACTCACGGGTGGGAACAATTGCCGCTCCAGAGGGGGCTGCGGTGGTCGCGGCGGTGGCGATGGTGTCTGCTGCTGCGGCGGCGGCTGCTGCTGCTGCTGCTGCTGCTGCTGCTGCTGCCACTGCTGCTGCTCCAGCAGGTCCAACTGCCGCAACTCCTGCCGCTCCCTCTCCAACAGCACCTGCTCCTCACGCTCACGCCGACGGGCCGCATGGAGACGCGTGTCGTGGCGGTGGGGAGGCGGAGTGGACTCCGCAGATTCAGTGTTTCCAGCTCCAGTTTCCTCAGAACCAGCACCTCCAGTGCCAGCACCTCCAGCACCAGCACCCCCAGAACCAGCACCTCCAGCTCCAGCACCCCCAGAACTAGCACATCCTGTGCCAGGACCTCCAACTCCAGCACCCCCAGAACTAGCACCTCCAGTGCCAGCACCTCCAGCTCTAGCACCCCCAGAGCTAGCACCACCTGCGCCAGCACCTCCAGCTCCAGCACCCCCAGAGCTAGCGCCATCTGCGCCAGCACCTCCAGCTCCAGCACCCCTCGAACGAGCACCCCCAGACCGAGTACCGCCAGCGGCTGCACCTCCAGCTCCAACACCAACCGAGTCCACAGTAACCTGTCGCGGAAGTGCCGAAGGCTGCTGAGGGGACTGGGAGGAGGACTGCGGGGAGGGAGACGCGACCTGACGCGGGACCGAGGGTAGAGGGGTAGCGTGGGACACACCAGATGGGGCAGGACCAGGGGGGGGCGGGGGTACCGGAGGAGCGGGAGCAGGAGGAGGAGAGGGTGCGAGGAAGAGAGGGGGAGGGGGTACCGGGAGACCTCGACAGGGGTACCGGGTGTAGTAGGACACAGACTCGTCAAACCGGACGTCACGGGAGTCTAGGAACTGGTGGAGGGGCGGGTGGTAAAAGGACCAGTCGGCAGAGTCCACTGGGAAACCAAGGAAGACACAGGGGACGGCGCGTGCCGAGAGCTTGTCCGCGGAGGTGTCGCGAACAAGCGCAAGGCAGCCCCAGACACGAAATGCCGACCCAACACCAGGGGAACCGGTCCAAAGACTGGTCGGTGAAGCCTCGGGCCGCGAGACACGCAGCTGGAGGTTCAGCTGGTGTGCGGCGTAGCGAACCGCGTAGGGCCACAGAAAATGGGGCGCACGGGCATGGATCATGGACGCGCGAGCAATGTCCATGACCAAGCCAATGCGGCGCTCAACAACCCCATTCTGCTGTGGGGACTCCGGAAGCGTCCAGGACTGTACGATGCCCTGTTCGCCGCAGAATCCGCCAAGAATGCCGGAGCGAAACTCGCCCCCACGGTCGGAGTGTAGACAACTGACACGACGACCACGAGTGCCCTCAGTAGCCAGAAGCCACCGGATCAGCGTAGAAGTCACCTCGAACTTCTTCGCGAGAGGGAACACTGTGGTGTACCTGGAGAAGTCGTCGACGACCACCAGAAAGTAACGCTCCCTCCCAGATCCCTGCGTCGGGGCAGGGCCCCAGACGTCCAAGTGGAGAGTCTCGAAGGGAGCAGTGGCCGGACGAAGGGAGG